GTTTATAAAGGTTTGCCACATGGCAAGTGATGTCGGCCGTGTTTGGCATCATGGTAGGTTTGATATGTCACTCATGTTTTTTTCGTTCTACACTTTCAAATAAACTCATAGCAAAGATGAACATATCCATAGATATTCATCTATGCTCCACCTAAAATTCTTCTGTACTACTAGCGATAGACTATACTTTGAGAAATACTGCCCAAATTAATTTAAAAATGATTGTCTTTCAGAGTATGGAAGAAACCAGAGGTGAAGGGCAGATTAAAATATGTTCAAGACTTGTGGTTGAGGCTGCCACTGATCTTGCTTATCTGAGTTAAGATGTTTAATTGACTCTTTCATTTCAAATGCCCATTGCAATGACCGAAAGATCTATAAAAGGTGAAAACCTGGAGAACCTAGAAAGGCTCCATCTGGCATCTATATGCCAGAAACTTGGAGGGTTCTATGAAAGAGAAAAACATGACAGAGAGAAATCACAGCAACTTGCATTTCATGTCGAGCCAAGGGCAAGCCTGTGTGGCAGGGGCTGGAGGCTGGGGTACTCTGAGTTGGGGACTCTGAGCTGGGGGATCAATATTCTGGAGGAACTCCAGAGAGCACATAACTTGTTGAATATAACTTAGAATGGAGACTCAGGCCTCAGTGTGCTACTGTCAGCCAGCACTTCAGGTGGTGTGCTGAATCAAATGGCAACAAGGATGGCAAATTGAGGAAGGGGGCACTGAGCAAACAAACAGCAACATAGAACAAAGGTTTTATCAAGTTCTCTTCCATCTGTAGCTCCCTTCTCATGTTACGTAGGACAGGCTCTCTGATCTGGCAAAGTGTGCCTGACAACGTTAATCTAATTTATTGTCCTCATGCTGGAATAATTCTCCCAGGCTCTTTGTGCAGCCAGCTACTTATAGTTCCTTTTTTTTTTTTCTGCTTCAATATCATCTCCTCACAGAGACCAGCTCCCATTTAAAGTAGCCCCCCTCCCTTATTCTGTATCAGTATCCACTTTCTTCATAGCACTCATTGCAATTTATTTAATTTGTTAGTTGACTTCTTTTTTGTCTGTCTTCTCCACGGCCTTCTAAGCTCCATGAGGGCAGGAATTTTGTCTGACTGTCTCACTGATATATGCTCAAAACGCAGACTATAGTAGGCGTTATTAATGAGTAAGCATTAGTAGAAAACAAGCAGGAAAAAATGGATTATTTTTAATATTGTCAAGATGTAATATACAGTGAAGATAAAATGGTCATGATTGAATATTTATGCAGTGTTGGAATATATGAAACAAATAGTTTTAGAAATTTAAGTAGAAATCGTCAAAACCACAATCATGGTGAGATACTTTAATGTTTATCTTTTAGTCCTTGGCAGGAAAAAAAATAAAGATACAGAGAATTTGCATAATATAATTTAGCTTGATTTAACATTTATAATAGAGTTCAATGTGAGAGTACACATTCAAATGTATGTGTATGGAAGTTGTTCTCATTAAAATATGACAGAAGATGTTATCATTGATATAAAAGAGATATAAATATTACAAGTGAATAGTCTTATGATTCCATGCTAATAATTGCTTTGCAAATAGATGATTTCCTAGCAAAATAAAAATAACAAAATTAACTGTGACCATGAGGAAGTAAAAGATAAAGAACTACCCCTCTCCAAAAAATAAAGACTCAGACTTTTTATAGATGAGTTTTCCCAAACCTTTAATGGATTAAATAATTCCCATATTGTTTCATCTGTTTTAGTCTAGAGAAAAATGACAGAAAGCTTCCTAGGTTATTTTATGAAGCAGGTATAATTCTCATGCCAAAATTTACAGATGTAGCACACAAAAGAAAACTGCAGACACACTTCATTTAGGAATGTTGAATCGTGAATCCTCTATAAAGCATTAGCACTTACAGATTTTGCTCAGGAATGCAAGAATATTTTAATATTGGCAAATATATTTATGATTCCATGCTAATTCATAGGCGGGGGAAAGATCATCATGGCAGTAAATATTAAATAATAATATTCAATAATTTAAATAAATATAATATAATTTTATATAAATTATAAATATATAAATAAAATAAATATATAATTTTTATATAAATTAAATAAATATAATTTTAAATAAAAATATTCAATAATTCATAGGTGGGGGAAATATCATCATGGCAGTAAATAGTAAAAGGATTTTATAGAATCCCACTTCTATCCCTGATTAAAAATGAAACAAAACAGCAACAGAAAATTTGTAGTAAACTACAACTAGAGGAATACATCCTTAATTCAATAAAGGTTATCTATCTTACACCATCAGCCAACATTATACTTAATTATGAAATACTACCACATTCCCATTAAAGTCAGGAAACACTCAAGAATGCCCATTGTTGTTAATCAACATAGTTTAAACATTTTTAGGCAATGCAATGAGAAAAGAAAAATAATTCAGCTGTTAATGTTGTAAAGGAGATAAAATCATCTATATTTAGTGATAATATGATTGTCTATCTGGAATGAAACTGAAGAACAATGAGAACTAATGAGAATTAACTAAGGTAGTAAGAAAATACATGTATAAAAATCAGTAGAGCTAGGCACAGTGGCTCACACCTGTAATCCCAACACTTTGAGAGGCCGAGGTGGGCAGAGCACCTGAGGTCAGGAGTTTGAGACCAGTCTGGTCAACATGGTGAAACCCTGTCTCTACTAAAAATACAAAAATTGGCCAGGCGTGGTTGCAGGCACCTGTAATCCCAGCTACTCTGGAGGCTGAGGCAGGAGAATTGCTTTAATCCGAGAGGCCGAGGTTGCAGTGAGCCGAGATGGCTCCATTGTACTCCAGCCTGGGGGACAAGAGCGAGACTTTGTCTCAAAAAAAAAAAAAAAAAAAAAATCAATAGCTGTCTTACATACAATCAATCCATTACAAAATGTGGTGAAATGGATTATATTCACAGAACAATAAAATATATATGATATGTGGGAATAAATGTAATAAGAAACATGCAGGACCCATCTGAATACAATGATAAACCTTATTCAGGGACATAAAAAGATACTTACGTGAATGGAGAAACAAAACTACTTAGGTGAAAAATTCCTAGCACATAGGACACACAATAAATGATTTTTGGATGAGTGATAAGTAAGTGAACTTAATTACCATAAAAATCTTATTAGAATTTTTTTGGTTCAACCAAATGATTTTAAGTTTCATCTAAAAAATTCTCAGAGCTGAGAATAAAACTGATAGCAGAGACAATAAAGGACTACCAGATCAGTTATTAACACATATAATGAGATAAGATAGGCCGGTTGTGGTGGCTCACGGAGGCTGAGGCAGGTGGATCACCTGAGGTCAAGAGTTCGAGACCACCCTAGGAAACATGGTGAAACCCCCGTCCCTACTGAAAATACAAAAAACAGCTGGGCGTGATGGCGCTTGCCTATAATCTTAGCTACTCGGGAGGCCGAGGTACAAGAATCACTTGAATCAGGGAGGCAGAGGTTGCAGTGAGCTGAGATCATGCCATTGCACTCCAGCCTGGGCAATAGAGAGAGACTCCATCTCAGAAAAAAAAAAAAGATAGTAACATTAGTATCGGCACATGAATAGATGGATTGGTGGAACAGAATAGAAAGTCAAGAAGCATATCTATGACTATGTAAGGATTTAGAGTATGTTGATGTTTTCTTAAGTATAATAGAAAAGGATGGATTTAATAAGGGCCTTAGGACTGCTGGAAAAAATGTATCCCTACTCCATAATGCACTCGAAAATATACTCCAGGTGTATTAAATATTTAAATGTAAAAAGTACAACCATGAAAATGTTAGAAGGATGTATTAGAGTATAGAATGCCTTTCTAGAGGTAAGAATAATAAAGGAAGAGATTGATAGATTTAATTACATATAAAATTTTAAGCTTCTGAGCTTCACCAAACACCATAAAAAATGTAAGGTTAACCAATTACATTGAAAAAAATACTTGAAATATGTGGCAGATTAAGAGTTTTCTATTATGCAACATAATATGAAAGATGTAAGCTCACTGATTATGAAAGTTGCAAATTATAACAAAAGATATTTTGTTTTATTTTGGCCATCAAATTGTCAAATAATAACAAAGAATGGAGAGGTGTCAGAAAACTGGCACTTGCCTGTACTACTGGTAGAAGTATATTTTGGGGTAGCCATGCTGGAGGGTAATTTGGACATAATCAAGAACCATGCCTTAAGAATTTATCTTAAGTAATTTATCATGAATATTTACAAATATATAAAACTTCAATCATAACCATTGCAAGCTAATGATAATGTAATGATAATCATTGCAGTATTCTTTATAACATCAATAAATTGTAAACAACGTAAATGTCTTCCTATGGGGAAATTGCTAACTCAACTGTAAGAGAGCCATATAATAGAATTCCCTGACATTATTAAAGATAATTTTGGGAAATATTTAATGACATAGACAAATCTGTGTTATCCTCTTACATAGGAGGGAATTGTGTAAATAAGACTAAAAGCCAGTTCTTTAAAATAGCGAGAAAGAAGGATAAGGAAGGTTTTACTGTGTCTAAGGCCTTGATTTTTATCAATGTATTAAGCTAACATATTTTCCAAGAGTTTCTATGATGGGATCTGCTTTAGTTAGAATACATACTGTTTTTAGTTCATCAGTTGATTAGACCTCTTAATGTCAATGCCATTTGTCAGAGGCAAGTTTACTGTTGTAAATCAGCTTACGGCCCAACAATAGGATGTGTCAGCCTATAGCTTAAGCATTTGTAAATTTAACACTTTTGAGTTTCACAACAAAATTGCATTCTGATTATTAATAATACCTAAGCTGTTATAAGATAAAAGTATATCTATTAGCTATGTGATTTTCTAGAATTAATTTAAGCAAAAGTAATTACTATTAAAGGGTTGTTGAAAGTGATTAATGCTTTATATGTTGAGATGAATCATTTTACTTCTTAAGAATTTCCAAATGTGCCTCAAATTGGATGGAGCCGGAAAAACAATGAAGATGCTAGTGGCCAATCTCTGGGAAAAGATTTCGCATTGGAAGCTCTGCTGAATTTTTTCTTTCCAACAAGTAAGTTCTTGTTTGATTTTTTCCCCCTTCTAATGTTCTTGCTTAGAAAACAGTAAATGTTTAGTAAGCACTGTGGCATATTGGCATTGGAGTGGGACAGAGCTGAGTTTGAATCCTGGCTCTTCCCTTTGGCTTAGGCAAGACAATCTCTCTGAACATCTGTGCTCTCATCTTTGAATGATGATATTTACTACAAATAATTATGAGGATGAACTGTGATAATATTCGTAAGGCATTTCATAAATGTTTGTTACTGTTTATAAAATACTTTTCCTTCACAAATATATAAATCTTTCACAATTTACCTGAACGGTATTACCTGAAATTTAGTCACTGACCCAGTATTGTGAAATTAATGTTTTCTGTGGCATTAGTGAGGGTACTGTGTGACTGATGTTATGGAATATGCCAGATGTTTTCCCATCTGTTTTAATGATAGTAAGCCCAGGTTTCAAGTCCCACCATCTTTTTGTGATTCTGTGTATAATGTGTTTATCAAGCACATGATGACCCCTGAGAATTATTAACCACAGATAAACACGTTACATTTTGTATGGCATGTGGTGCCCTTTCAAGAAGCTTCATATAAATTGGCATATGTGAATTACAAAGAAAAAGCTCTTATGAAAAATCATGCAAAATTTATTCTAACAAAATTTTGTATACTCTATAAGCACAAAATTAGATCTATTCTTCAATTCCAGGCCTTACCACTGAATCCTTTAGTGACCTTGAATCAATCTCTTTGTTCCTTTATACTTGTTTCATTAAGTTTAAAATAGGCATCTAGCAATGAGAATAGCGAAATAAACAAGTTCCTTAAATAAACTCAAAATACTGCCATAGTCAAATTGAGTAAATAGAAAAGAAATCTGAGAAAGTGTTATGTTGTATAGGCTGAAAGAATGGTTTGAGTGTCAAAGTTAGTCATAAACAACAACTAATGATGATTTTAGCTTTAGAGCTTATGAAAATAACAGATGTAAATAGTCACATACTTACCCATAATAACTACATTGTACAGACACTGAAACCACCTTTAAGACTTGTCCAGGTAAGATATCTGCATTTCCCAAATATTTCTTCAACCTGGTGCAATAAAGTAAATAAAAATTGATTATATGAAGTAACAATTTTGTCCAACAAAATAAAATTGTTGCATTTTAAGAGAAACATCTGACCTAGGTTGATTCAAACAATGATTAAATATTTATGAAATGTGCATACTGTCTTCTTTGGAGAGAATAATTACAGCTTCATAAAACATGAAATATTTTAACCAATTTATTTCTCCCCCACATAATTGAAAATAAACACTCTTACCACTTAAGCATGAAAAAAAAAAGTTCGTTGTTTTGTCATTAGGCTATTATCTGTAAAATATTTATCTCTTGCATGTTAAAATGATAACCTGGAGACACACTGGCAGGGAAGCTTGAGAGATCACCTGATCTTTCTCCCTTTGGACTAAATTATATACTTAAGCCTGACCAAAAACAATTATTCTACCCTTTTGATTCTTTAAAATTAGCAACATCTATTAATAATTTGAGCCTGAAAGTTAATTTTAATATCTAGCATAAAGTCCATCAGATGCACTTAAAGTATAAATTAACATGTTCTTAGAGATCATATAGTCTAGCCTCTTCTATGATTTAACCCTAACCCTAACCCTCTGTTTAGCATTTCTGGAAAGTGGTGTTTGAACAGTACACATGGCGAGAAACTCAGCATGCAAGGAAGTCCATCCCATGTCTGAGTAGTCCTGACTATTGTCACCATTTTCTGGGTGTTTGACACCCAGAACTGAACACTAGATGCAATCCAACCTAGGGGAGAAGAGTCACTCGGGTCCTAGCAGAATTGAAGAGCAGATTACTTAGAATATGTAACAAGGAGGATAAACTCTCATGTCTAAAATGTTTGGAAAATGAGTACCTAGGTCACTTGGTAGTGCATTAAATTTGTGATCTTGCATAAGTTACTTTGATCCTTTATTTTCTTATTTTTAAAACAGAGGTTATAAACTCAGTTTGGGAGTTTTGTTGCTAAGATTAGTAATAAAGAGTGTAAAGCAATGTTCCTGGCCCCGGTGCCTAAAGAATGGTAGACATTATTACTTTTACCTTGGCTTCAGGAATTGCCAATCTTTCAAAAAGGGGAATGTAATAAAATATAGTAAGAGGTTAAAATTTGCATAAAACAATTATATTATTCTTTGCTGATGTTGAAGTGCTTTAGAGTGCTTATAAAACATCAGTTACTGTTTTTAAGTTTGTAATTGTTGATAGTATGAGATTGAACAGAATCTATTCTGGCCTTAATGCATTGACATACTGTGGAGGTTTTGATTTTTGAATAAAAATCTGATATCATGCTTTTTAGTTTTTTTTGTTTCTCTTATAAAGCAGGATATTTTAGAAAATAAGCTATTTGAGCTTGCAAGTCTTTTAGATTCAGGCATGTACAAATTTATTAAGTTGCATGAATCTTGGTGTTCATGCCATAAATCATTGCCTATTCAAAATTATAGAGTCATAACTTAAGGCTGAAACAAAGAATCTTAAAATATATTGTAGTGCCAATATGATAAGTGTTCACAAAAAGTAGGTCAATACCAGTGTATATCACTTACTTTAGTCACTAGCAGCAAACTATTTAATTTTTACTTACATTCATTCTCATTGATGCATTCAATGACTTTCTGTAGCTTAGTAATGTTAAACCAGAGGATACATGTGGGATCATTTTAACAAGGGATGTTTTAAAGGCATTGACCTGCCATTATTTAGTTTCTTCTGTGTTATGTTTGTATCTCCACCACTCAGCTCATGATTTATTGTCCTTTAAAACTACCTTACCAATGATTTGTTAACAACTTGTATTTTTCTGCAGTTTTTCTAGATTTGAAAATGTGGTGTTAAATAACGTAGTGGTAACTTTTAGCTTAATTCTTATTTTCTTTTAGCACTCATCACTAGTTGTATATGCCATTAAATGTTTTCTTGTCTTGCAGTAATTATTTAATTAGGAAAAATGCTGATTAACCATGCTGAATTCTCTTTCTTAAATTTTTTTTTCTAAAAGCTTGCATTGTCAGGGAAAATCGGGTGGTAAAAGCTTGTAATGAGCTGCATGAGCTTAATGAGAGTGAATGTTTGAGACAGAAATGCTGTTTTTCATCATCTGGGACTGGTAGATTCAAATGTTTTGCTCCATTAAGAGATGGTAAGTTCATCCTCTTTCATTTATTTCTATTTTTTTAAATTAAATAAACAGATCACAATGGCATAAGTTCACATTTGGATTTCCCAGCTTAATACTTAATTTGGCATTTGGGCAAGATTCTAGAGTACCAAGAATAAATCACTGATCTAATGGGGTGATAGCAACAAAGGTGAAGATATCCTAGAAGATGGGATTGATTTTCTACAAAGGAAAGAAATATCATCACTACTTCTCTGTTAGTAAGAATAAGACAACTACAATATGTACAAAGGAACAAATAATTTTTATTGTTCCTATAGAAAATTTAGAAAATGTTCAAAAATTATAAATTATTCATAGTCGCACCACTCAAAAAAAAAAAAAAAATGGGATTCTCAGCCCTAGATCAATGCTCCTTACACAGTCCTGAGGTGGTCACGACTCTATTCAGTAGCAGTTTCTGCTGAGCCTTTAGATGGTGACTTTGGTAATTCAAAATTAGTCTCACCTTTTCTTTTGCTTTAGTCACTCTCTGTGTTTTATCCTAAAGGTTCCAGGCTCTATGGTATGCTCAATGGCTGAGAGAAGATAACAGTTGGTCATGCCTTAGCTTACTTTTTCTTGCCCAGCTTTTCTTTCTGGGTAGAATTCTTCCCATTTGTCTTGTCTTTGACATCTCAGTGTGCAGTAGAGTTGAATGTTTCTTGTTAAGGCCTGCTTATTAGTTTTTCTTTGTTTTATTGGGTAATTTTTGAGGTAGTGCCTCACTCTGCCACCCAAGCTGGAGTGCAATGGTGATGTGATCACAGCTCACTGCAACCTTGACCTCTAGGGCTCAAGATCCCTGAGTAGTTGGGACTACAGTTGTGTGCCAGCATGCCTAATTTTTAAATTTTTTACAGAGACAGGGTTTCCCTAGGCTTCCCAGGGTGGTCTCAAACTTTCGGGCTCCAGAAATTCTCCTGCCTCGGCCTCCCAAAGTGCTGGAATTTATAGGTGTGAGCCACCATACCAAGTCTTGTTCTATAGTTTTTAAATTAGGTTCTGAATATTTTTTTTCTTTACAAAGTTTTGAGAACTGAACCATCTGTTGTTGCTACCTTCATTTGGATAGTGGGGATGTATTTCCAGTTGCTCTTATGCTACATGGATTTAATATGATGAAACACTAACAAATACTACAAAAAGGATGCATGCTAAATAATATCTTAAGTAAATGTAGTCCCTATTCAATTTGCAGCTTTTTGTTGAACATGTAGTATTAATACTGAAAACTAAAACCTGATCATGAATATAATTTTACAATTTTAACCCTGTCACATGTTGTTTATACTTCATTTATCAGCTTGGTCTTCATATTATGTATGAAGCAACATTTGGTTCTTGAAGAGGAAAAAATTTAACCGTGACTTACAATTCCCCAATCACATTAGAATGCATTTTGCAATGAATGTAACACTAAAATATGCTTATTTCACCTGTGAATTCTTGATTCCTTGTTTAATGTTTTGTAATTTGGAAGTAAACCTACAGCACCTGGTATTCCCAGGCAGTCTCCCATCCAAGTACTAAGAAGCTATTCATTTACCAAGAAGCTATTTATTTACCAAGTTAACGGTTCACAGATTAATGTGCTCCCCAAGTGCTCTAGGATGTACAACATATGGCCAAGGGAAAAAGCCTATTTAGGGCCAGAGGAAGAAATATGTAGTATGCATCATAATAATCAATGATTGTACAAAAAGAGTAGGATCATTGTGTTAAGACTTCATTAAGGGATACATATTGAAAGTGTAGCTTTCAGTTGTATTTCAAGAACATTTCATGAACTCCTGTTCCTTATAAAGTAGCAAGGATATTCACCTGTCGTATAAGAATACTTCCTCATTTTACTTTATTAACTGATAGGTTTTTTAAATAAAGAATTTATGAAAGAGCTTGGATTTACTTCTCTTGCTTAAGTCATAAAAGTAACAGGATGTAATTAAACCAACAGAGCCTAAACAGATGATGCGAATGTGTGGGGTTGGTGTAGTCAGCCTCGTGAGCCTGGGATATCTGTCCTTTTATTGCTGCTCTCTTTGCTGCAGGAGGTAAGCAAACATAAACTTTTATTTGCTGGTTGCTAAGTAAACATGAGTATTTGTATATAGACATATTTATTAATATATTTCAGAAAGATAGGGATTATGTTTGGGTTCTTTATGTTGAAACTATGGTAGCTTGGGAAAAACCTAAAACTAGAGTTGCCATAATGTGTTTTTAAAATGCATGTTATCAGCTGGGTGCGATGGCTCATGCCTGTAATCCCAGCACTTTGGGAGGCCGAGGCAGGCAGATCACTTGAGGTCAGGAGTTCGAGACTATCCTGGCCAACATGGTGAAACCCCGTCTCTACTAAAATACAAAAAAAAAAAAAAAAAAAAAAAAAAATTAGCTGGGCATGGTGGCGTGCGCCTGTAGTCCCAGCTACTTGGAAGGCTGAGACAGGAGATTTGCTTGAACCCAGGAGGTGGAGGCTGCAGTGAGCCGAGATTGCACCACTGCACTCCAGACAGGAGCCTGGCAATAGAGCGAGACTCTGTCTCAAAGAAAAAAAAAAATTAGCCAGGTATGGTGGTGCACACCTGTAATCCCAGCTACTTGGGAGACTTAGGCAGGAGAATTGCTTGAACCTGGGAGGCAGAGATTGCAGTGGGCCAAGATCGCGCAATTACACTCCAGCCTCAGCAATAAGAGCAAAACTCTGTCTCAAAAATAAAAGATTTAAAAAAAAATAAATGCATGTTATTTTATTTTTCATAGATTTTCTTCATGCATAGTATCTATACATTCCCTCATCCAACAAACCCACAATTAGAAGAGAAAATAAATTAGCAAGCTTGGTGTGTGTGCAGTGGGGGGTGGCTGTTAACTGCAGCTCAGAACAGTTCCTAGAAGTGTTTGTTTCCATTGAGTCATCTGCCATTGTTCTTTAATGATCATTTACCATTGTGTCATAAAGCCTTGGTCTGTCTTGAAGCCAATTGGTAAACCGATTTCTTCTTAGCATCTTATACAAAATACCAATGGACTACTAGCATGATGCTTCCAAGTTTTTTTTTTTTTTTTTAAATAGCTCCCTACCTATGGGGACAGAGTGGGTACAGAGATACAGAGCACAGTCAGGACTAGAGTGAGGTGAGTGAGGCACTTGGAGCACAAAGTTGAGGGAAGCACTCACTCTCAGGTTTATGCAGGTGCAAAGTCACTACTCTGAGAATAAATACCTCCTTAAATTCTCTGATAAAGATAAGGTGCCTGTTAAAGGTTAAGCATTTTTGATGTTTTTATTGAAGTTAATGGGGCAGTCGTAGTTGAGTTACCAGAATATGGTTTAGATTTCACAGGAAGAGTTAGACTATATACACTACCTTACTTTGGATAAAGATCATCAAAGTGATTGGCAGTAGGAGTGGAATTTTTGACCCTTCCTTCTTCTCTTCAAAGGTTGATTTTGTATTAAAAAACCCATGATTAACAATGAGGTGACCGGGCGCGGTGGCTCACGCCTGTAATCCTAGCACTTTGGGAGGCTGAGGTGGGTGGATCAACTGAGGTCAGGAGTTCAAGACCAGCCTGGCCATCATGGTGAAACCCCATCTTTAAAAAAAAAGAGAAAAAACCAATGAGGTAACATTTGCTAGAAATTGGTGGCTAGGAATATACTATGCAATTTAAAGACATTCTAGGATACTAAGTTTGTTATGATCACTTCATTATGGTGTTAAAATGCCTCTGCAAAGGAATTTTATGCGGGTGTTCAGGTCCCCTGGATTTTTTGTTCTTTAAAATGATATCCAAAGGATTATTCTCTGATACTAATATATTTCCTTCTTTCTGCATAATACAAATTGCTTGAGAAACTTGAACAATGTGAATTAGTGTATATATTGGATACTATACATTTTGGTTTGCTATGTTTTATTTATTTATTTTACTATTTTGTGCAAGAGCAGTATGCTCCTTCTGTCATCTTGAGCTGACTATCATGCCCCTTAGAGCAGGTAGCAGATTCATCTTGCTGCTTAGATGAATTTCCAGGAACAATGATTGAGAGCAGATGAGCGCTTTCAGCCTATTGTGATAGGCTGATTTTAGAAGCAAGGGAAATAATGGTGTAAGAATGGGGAAATCTCATTCCTGATATCAAACAAGGAGCTAAGTAGAGGACAACGTTTGCTTTTGCATGGCAAGATATCTCCTTAGAAAAATTTCCTTAACTCACTTTCTGTTCTCCATTTCAAATAATAAAGAGATAGATAAAATATTAGAGTAGGTAAAATAACCCATAAAAAAGAAATAGACACAGAAGTAAAATCAATATGTGGTGGCTTAAATAGGAAAAGAAAGAAGCCAAACACAATCGTTTGTCTAAATCAGAGGTACCAAAAGCTAAATAACTATCTGCAGCATTGTGATTTGGGCCTCTTTTGGATGATCTTTTTTGCTTTGGAAGATATCCTTAAGCTCTTCCTCTTGCTGAATCCTGTCTTACACATTAAATAACTGAGCATTCCTTTAAGAAAGAGCTGTTGTAGCTCTCCTCTTGGCCTTCAGTTGCAAGCCAAAACAAATGATGTTTTGATATTCCTCATCCTCTGCAATTTGGATAGTGGGTTTTTTGTTTTTGTTTTTGTTTTTTTAAGGATCACCTAAGGAGCTAACAACTGGCAAGAATTAGAGAGATTAAAAAATCAGAAGCAATTTAAGCTGGTGGGAGAAGTAAAAGCAGTGTAGGTGAAAAGGGCAATTATGCACCAGAGCTGTAGGTACTTCAGTTTTTGGTGCCTAATTCATTTTTTCCACTATTGACCATATTCATTCAGTGTTCACTTGTGCCACGTATAACAGAGGCTACAGACATTTTAAAGACACAGGCCCTACTTTTAAGGAGCTTAAATCCACCTTAAAACAAATCAGAAGTATGACACATTTAAATTACAATATAAGATGAAAACAATTAAGGACTAAAATGGATGGTGACAATAACTTACAAAAGTTTTGAAGCAGTGGAGATCAGGCTAAGTGGGAGAGGGTGGGTCAGGCTTCATGGTAGAGGTGCCATTTGAGCTCGGTTTTGAAGGGGGACAGATTTGGAATAGATGGACGGGGTCCTTTTCACAGAATTAATTACATTCGGATGGTGGTCTTCTCACTATAGACCCCTTAACTGATTGTCATTTCTGAGCAGATATGGCTGAACTTTGCCAGTGGAATAATCTATAACTGAATCTCTAGTTTACTGCCACTTGACTTGAGTTCTAGTATGATATGAACCCAGTACACAGAGGACTCAAACCGGCTTGAACTTGTTGTACATACAAAAGGAAGCAGAGAGCATTAGTGAAAAACTTTCTAAGAATTTTCTAATAGCCATATTAAACTAACATATAAGATGTGTTTTGAAATTTATTGCATCCTCAAGGTTATATAAGATCTATTTTTATCCTCATTAATAGGGATCAGAAGCTTCATTAGGTTTGAGTGTCACTAGTAGGCTTAAGCCTTTGCATAGAAGAGAAGGAAGGAAAAGATCAAGTGGATAGTGACAAAAGGAAGCAGGAGAGAGGAGTTTTAAGGGGAGGACTTGAAAGAGGGAGGTAGCTGAATTGTTCTTATAACAGCTATTACTATAGCTAGCGACAGTAGTCTCAAGTACCAGATTCAGTTTCTAATCTTAATCTGTTTTTAGATAAAGTTTAAATCTCTGTGCATATGCCATTTAAACATCTGTGGATTATGTAATGATATGATACTTGAGTGTGTATGTAGCTTTGATAAGGTGAAGCATTTAAACGTTATAATACCGTGTCTGTTAAACTCAGATGAAATGTATTTTCACGTTCCTTTTCTTCCTATCAGATTGAATTTGTAACTTTGAATTAAGACAGAATTCAAAACTCAGTTTGAAAATGTTAAAACTGTTTTCTTTCAACTAATAAAATGTCTATTTTTTTAAAGATTGTAGATCATCTGATACACAGATGATGTAAAAAGCACATCCCCCATACATTTTCAATGTTGCTACTTGCCAGATGGCTGTTACTGAAAATTTCTACATTTAGACAAATCCTGCTGCATGATTCTCTGTATTATAATGTGATATTCATTATGCTGATAGTCTTAGTGCCACTTATTTTCTTACAACGGGAGGTAAAGAACTGGGAATAAATGTGTCAAAAACTGCCTAAAAATACATCACCCATTGAATTTTTAAAATGGACATTTACATTTTCAATTTTCTATGTTTGCATGTCTCATTATACTGTACAACATAATTATATTATTTTGAAAAACTTTATGCAGTAATTAGTGAACTACCGGACAGTTAGAAATTCCTAGGATTATATACATCTGGATTCAGAGGAAGGAAACAAAATCTACAAATTTTAAAAGTATGACTAATCTTTAAGAACTTTGATAAAATATGTCAGATGAGAATGTGAGAAAACTGGAACGCTGTTCTAACATGAGTCACTATAGATTTGAAATTCGTATGAAGCTGATTCTTCTTGGATGCTGTTCAGAGTAATTTAATTACTGAAATAATAAGAGAACCTCATTATATGCAGATCATATGTCTGAGGTGTTCCCATTGCAAGGACTCCAAGGACAGCACTTCAGAGAACTCTGGCGTAGTAGGTACTATTAACAAGAACATTCTGTTGCCAAGTAACTAATAACTGCATTGCAAAATGAAGTGGCTTTTTCTCAATTCCCATTCAACTTGATCTTTTTGTCACAGAGTACGCTGTTGACTGCTCCCTTCTTGAAATTTTCCTCCCTTGGATTTCTTTGTTCCTCTTACAATTTTGATCCATCTCAGCCTGCTTTCCTTTGTTCTCCAAAGTGTGGTTGTTTCCCAAAGCTTTACTTTCATTTATCAGAGAGTGTTAGAAATATATAGTAGGAAGAACATTTTAAAAGGTGTGTGTTCCAATTCTGCTTCTACTACATTTCATGCATGTGTTTAATTTCTTTGAGTATTGATTTTCTTACATGATTGTAGTAGAGACTTGAGTTAGATGATTTCTACATGACTTTTGGTCCA